ATATTCTGATTATCATTTTTATGTAAGTTTGCTATTTTAGTTCAGATAAGAGGAAATAAATTTAATATCGTTAATTGTCGTTGTTCGTCGGGTTATCATTTGGGAGCGGAAATTGCCTACAATTCCGCGATAAAATTTCGCGATATTGTATAAACAATCAAATTTAATTACTATCAATGTTTTAATCTAAATTAGATCACAAAAATTATCGATATTCTCTAAATTAAATATGAATGGTGAATTCATATTTAAAAATTTGCGAAATATTAACCACGTCGCGCCGCGCTTCAGAGAAAGGCTGTTTCGAGATCGAGAGGGTAGACTATCGCGGGAACCGGCCTGTTAAAAATTCGTCTGTTATTCGCGTGCCGGCGCGAGATCCCGTCATCGGGGATGCTGGCATCCCGACGCGATGGTGGGGAAGCGTGCCCGCGCGCGGGGAGAGTGGGAGCGTGCCGTGCTTCGGGGTTTTGTCTGGTGTGATGACGACGATGGTGGTGGTGGTGGTGATGGTGGTGGTGATGATGGTGGTGGTGATGGTGGTGGCGAGGAGCCGACCGATGCTGATGCGCTCGTGTCGAGAGCGTCGGTAATTGAAGCGGTCGCAATCGGGAGAACCGAGGTGCCAAAACGAGTCTTAAACGAGTTCCCCAAAGATGAGATAAGGACCCCCGTAATACCGGGCAAGATCGATTGCGCGCGCGCAAACACGTATAGAGGGGAGAAGTGCTCCGAGCTGTGTCATATTTTACGACTCATTTCGTTATGTCCTTTCTCGCGCCTTCGCGATGTTAAAACTCGAACAGATAAACTTGGCGCATTCGCGATCGTTTAACATTGCCCGGTATAATCTTTTTTATTCGCTCGCGTTAAAAGCCGGAAGTAAATCAGCTCGTTGATGTGTAGCTGCGTTTTCAACGAGGGTTTAATGCACTAAGCGATGTGAATAATTTTATAGATGCGCCGGTAAAGATACGCCAATCTCTTATGGCAGTTTTATAGAGAGGAAGAACAGGCAAATGAACAAATTCGCCTGTTAATCATTTTAATACTTTTGATATCTTTGTGAGAATTTTCGAGTTCTGTCCATTATTGAGAGATTATGTTAATTTTAACATTTTTTCTGTCATTATTAATGTCGAATGAAACAATTCTCTCGTAAAATAAAGATAAATGTATGCAAAACATTTAAATTATCTAACGATATTCTTTGACTTGTTATTGACTGATTAACCACTGATCTATCTTGTATAAGTAGGTACATCCTTTGATAGTTATCAGCTCTTGAGACGCGGACTAAACGCGGGTCGCGTTTAACGAAAATTAAATCCCACGTAATTTCGCCGCAATTAAGCGCAGCCTGGTAATTTGCATGCCTTTACGTAGCAATCTTTCGCGGCGTTTTTAACGCGAGCGACGAACCTCGCGCGGCTCCAGGATCGAGATAAGCGTCTCTCTTGCGAAGAAATAAGTAGTTTAAGACAGTTCGCGTGGCCGGAAATTGGTCTCTGACGTCGTTCACCATCGCGCGCGAGAAGTGGGGGGGAGGGAGGAGTATTTTATGCACGGGGCCCCGAGTGTGTTATGCATCCGTGGATCCGCAGGTGCATCCCGACGTGCTCGGTCGGAGCACGTCAAACTTGTGGTGTGGATCCGCGCTGGAAAGATACGAAATCGCGTTGTAAAAGTGTCGCGTATACGCTTTCGCGTGACATAATATTGTCGGCTTCGATAACGGCGGCGTTTCCGGTTAAAGTGGCAAACGTGATGTTATCGTGGATAATCGATACGCGAGATTAATTCAGTGACGGTGCAAAAATCAAGTTGTTTAAAAAGAAAAACATATATGTTAAAACGTATATGTTAGGTTCACGCGTAGAAATAAATTTCTGCTTTGGATTTTTAAATCGTGCGATTTTGGAGAAGAACCGCGTTATGCTTATGACTGTGGCAGGTAGCTTCTTGTGTAAAAGTAATGACAACACGTACGAGTAATCGAGAAGGTTCAATCACCTGCGCAAGATGACCGATAAATGTACACGTTGTACATTTAATGCATTAATCGTTCGTTATTTGCATAAATGCTAGTCATTTTGAATAAGAACATAATTTTATATAAACATATCAATCTAATTCCGCTATCGATAAGTGACGTTTTATTAGATGCGATAAAATATTCTGATTATCATTTTTATGTAAGTTTGCTATTTTAGTTCAGATAAGAGGAAATAAATTTAATATCGTTAATTGTCGTTGTTCGTCGGGTTATCATTTGGGAGCGGAAATTGCCTACAATTCCGCGATAAAATTTCGCGATATTGTATAAACAATCAAATTTAATTACTATCAATGTTTTAATCTAAATTAGATCACAAAAATTATCGATATTCTCTAAATTAAATATGAATGGTGAATTCATATTTAAAAATTTGCGAAATATTAACCACGTCGCGCCGCGCTTCAGAGAAAGGCTGTTTCGAGATCGAGAGGGTAGACTATCGCGGGAACCGGCCTGTTAAAAATTCGTCTGTTATTCGCGTGCCGGCGCGAGATCCCGTCATCGGGGATGCTGGCATCCCGACGCGAAGCGTGCGAAGCGTGCCCGCGCGCGGGGAGAGTGGGAGCGTGCCGTGCTTCGGGGTTTTGTCTGGTGTGATGACGACGATGGTGGTGGTGGTGGTGATGGTGGTGGTGATGGTGATGGTGGTGGTGATGGTGGTGGCGAGGAGCCGACCGATGCTGATGCGCTCGTGTCGCTCGACGAGCCGGCGAGAGAGGAGCACAGAGCACGGACACACATCGCACTCGCAAGCCGCGCAAGCTACGACCGCTCTCTCTCTCTCTTGCGTCCTGTCGCAACCGCCAGTCAGCGACGATCGTCGTCGGTGTTCGTCACGGTGTCGCCGTATGGTCATGGTCGTCCCGTCGACCTGGTCACGATCGCACAAATACTCCTCATCGTCGATCGCCGAGTCGCCACCCCCGCGTGATCGGGGACGCATCCCGGGGGTTCACCCCGAGCGGAACGGCAGGGGACGCTTGGCGAACGATCGCTCGATCCGAGCGCGAGTTGGCGCGGACCGGCTCGCAGTCGCGTAGCTGCGAAAAGATTCACGCGAAAGCAAAGTTGATGGAAAAAATATCGCACGCACGTATCGGATGTCCGTCAGCTGAGTCTACGCGAAAGGAATGACATATCGCGTATTGCAAGAGCGTCAGTGAAAGAGAATCTATCCGGGCGACTTTCAACCTGTCGACGTCGTCCGTTCGGCGACACTCTTACCCCGTGGAGCCAGCCGGCTGCGGCGCGCGGCACGCAGCGGGAGGACCGAGAGCGGTGCGTGCCTCGCCTATCGCCGCGCCGCTTCGGCCGCAGCGAGTCAGTGCTCGGATTTCCGCGCGAGCGAGAACTTACTGCTCTCGCCAGTTCGTGTCGTCAGGGTACGCGAATTCGGAATCAGATCGACAATTATCTCGTCGCTTCGTAAGAATCCCAGTGATTTTCCATCGCAATATCAAAGATTCCGCGAGAGTGCCGCGATTAATCGTAGCAGTGTATCGATGATAATCAAAGGGATAGTGCAGTTCTCGTCTCTGAAAATCTGACTGCAGCGGAGTTTGATACGCCGACGTTTACCCATATGTTCGCGGTATCAGCTTGCGAAAAGAAACTGCGAAGCAACGGAGTCGCGTATCGAAGGACACGCGGTGCCCCAAGTACTCTTTCGCATGGTTACGTAAACGGACACCGACCGCGTGTTTGACCGACCGGAGAGGTAGTTTTCTCGCGGAAGGAAGTGAGTACCGGCGACAACCGAGAAAAGAAAAGAGAGAAAGCGTCTGTTATCGATAATTTAGCCGCTCGAGAAAATCTCTTCCCGTTCCTGTTATCCATCGTCACAAGAACTTCTTCAACGGGTTCGCGATCGACTACCTCGAAAAAGTATATCGTGGAAAGATTCTTGACGCGAGAGAAAGGAACGCCGTCGGCCAAGCGCCGACGGTCGATTGACATCGGCGTGTTTCCATCGATGATGAGGACGGCGAGCGTCTCGTCGTGCAATCTAACGTCATCGAACTTCTCTCAGCGTTGCGTCAATAATACGCCGGACGTATAATACATCGACGTGATCGGCGATCGCTATTTTATCGCCGAGATAGCGTGGAGCGACGGCGCGACGATTCGTCTCATTCCCCCGGCGAAGAGGAGAATAATTACGAGAGGAGAACACATATACGCGCACACGATCCCTTTCCTTCGTCCGGCACGGAGCCGGAGGGCAACAGAGCGCGATCGGAAGGAAGTAACGTATAGTCCTGCTCTCCTCGCGATCGGCGTCTCCCGCTGAACCGTCGTATATCTCGACGGTAATGCGCGCAAATTATGCGTCTCGCGCTTCTCTCTCCGCACCGAGGAACGCACGGCGACTAGAGGCAAGAGGAACGGAGATGAGCGAGAAGAGGAGATAATCCGCCTGTTGCGCTTTCCTTCACCTACGATCTTCTTCCCGCCTCTCGTTACCGCGGTGAGAAACGAGTGCCAACGACTAACTTCGACACGACAAATCCTCCCGGGGGCGAGTGTGCGTGTCTGCTGTGCGTGTGTGTGTGACGTCTCTATTCGCGAGGACGCACATTCGTCGTCGTCGTCCGCGTTGACATTCTCACGTGTGTTGTAATCAGTGCGGCCGCGTCGCTTCTTTGAAATTTGTTCCGGTTCGATTTCTCCGGTGATCCTTCGTGCGATTCGAGGAAGCTCGCATCTGTGATTTTCTCGGAAGCTCGGCAGAGAACGGCCACGCCGATAATCGTGCGTTCCGACAAACAGTATCGCGTCGATGTAACGTGAGAGCGTCTTTTAGAATGACTTACGTCGAGAGAGTTATCGTGCTATTCCAGACGAACGCTTGATTTCTCGATCAATTTTTCTGACGTTCTGTCGTGGGAGAAAATCCAGTGACATTTCTTGGCGCGAGAACGCGAAACGTCAGGTACCGCGACAGTTGCTCTTTTTTCCATTTTACTTCACGCGAGCTGTTCGCAAATATATGTATATCGCCGCATCCGATCGGATCCTCGTGTTCAAGATCTTCGACCGGGGATTCTGAAAAACTGTCAATTGCCATTAAAATTCACTCGACATTCGAGGCAACTTAATGTCAAAGTCGCTGCGGAAGAAAATCTAGACGAAGCATTTCGAGCCGGCAGACTTTAAGCCACGCGGGACCGTCCCTCGTTGCGTTCGTCCTGGTGAGTGTTTTTAATTAATATGTTACGCGCGATATAATTATATATACCTATCCCTATCGTAATACGTCGAAAACGTTTAAACACGAATTTAATCCGACTGCGAATATTTATACGTGACACATGTCCAATGCGTGCACGCAAGAGACCGTAATAAATATTTCACCTAATGAGGTCGTAATTATTGGATAAATTGAGAACGGCGTAACGATCGATTTAGATATGTTCTCACACGACCAGAGCGAAAATATTCGATCGCGATAATTATTCGTCGCCTGCCGTTTGCAGAATTGTTGACAGGATGATTTGTTGATTGACCGTCGCTGCAGCCACCGCAGCTTTTGCGCCATTAATTTTTCTTCGCCGCGTATCGAAATTAACATAATACGAGCTAGAAACGAGACCCCAAAGACTAACGAGCCTTAAGTAGATTTTTAAAAAAAGGCGAGAAAAAACGCGGGAAATGCGAACGCGATATCCTTCGTGGACGCGTGCATGCGTGCCAGAGTCGCGTATGCGGTACACGCGACGAGAGACTTTATCTCGACGTCATCCGGCGTCTGTAACGCAAACAATTTGAGGGAGACGTTCAACCTTAACGCGTGCGCGTTGCTGCCTTTCGAAGACGATCATCGTATAATACCATCGCGAGAAATAATAAATCCGCGCACACGTCGAGAACGAAGATGAAAGCAGCGGGAAACCGAGAGGGAAAGCCGCGAAAGGAGCAAGAGAGAGGAGGACACAGAGGGATATACAAGGTGACTCGGTGCAATTGCGTTTCTTTTCGATAATAGGCACTTTGACGAGACTTTTGTACTGATAGTACTTGTTATATCAAACCTATCTCGGATCTATCATTTTTTTTTTTTTCTGTCTTTTCTAATTATGAATATAGTATCCATTTAACGTTAAAGAAGAAAGTACGATCGAACGCGGTCACCCTGTATTGACGAAACGTGAGATCGTAAATCGTGGTTGCACCGTTTCGCGGGATACGCCCCGTTAAATCGCGGGTTAAACGGGTTACAGTCCGTCCCCCCCCCCC